CTACCAAGCCATACTTGAAAAGGAAGGGCCTGAAATAATAAGCGATACGTCACATGTTATTATTCAATTGGAAAAACACTTGAAAAATAAACTTTTCTTCAATTGTTTAATGACATGTGGTGTACCGCCTTGTGTTTCAAACACACTGAAAATTTTCTCTAAAGGAAGAGGGAGGTCTCTTCCAAGACTTAGCTTGCTTTTTGTCTCAAAATTGCATCGTATTCAAACTTGGACTTCACTTCCAGTATTAAACCTAGTTTGGAAGTTACTGCATATTTCACTGCTGTAAATTGCAGTAACTTCTATTTTCAACTTGTTATATCTCCTTTGTTCAAGGAACTAGCTCTATCACCCTTTCCTTTTTCTCCTTTTTCTCCTTTCTATCCCTTCTTCAACACTCTATGTGTTCGGATTTTTCTAAAGAAGAACAAATGCTGAGACCACTCAATTTTACGAGAAGAAATAACTTATATCGGGAAGATTCCAATGACTTTATTATAAACTAACAATGTATGTCGCGTGAAAAAGTAAAAAAAAAAACACATGAAAATGTGTGATTGAAATGAGAACTGTCATTGTGATTGTTGATAAGTTTCCCTCCGAACTCATAGAATTTTTCCACTTATGTCTTTTACGTTTAATAGGGTATCTCGTGCAAATTCAATCAAGTGTCGAGAGAAACTTAAAATACAAAAAAAATAAATGCAGAGGCAGAATGATGAACTAGTAGGTATAGAATACTAGTTGTGGGAAGCAATGCTTTTGATTAGAGAGGAGAGAAATAAATACCTGCCTAAATTCGATGAAGAAACAAAAGCTAAATCGGATGCCCTACATTCCATTTCGTTTGTTGCTAAAGGACCACCCATGATCACTGTTTTATTGCCTAATCCAGATCAAACCCCTATTAGTTAAGGCCATCCCCACTTCTCAACATAAAGAGGGACAATCTTAGAGAAGAAAGAAAAAGCGTCTTTGTAGGATGCTCCGTCCCCTCTTGCCTCTATCTTTCCTCCACTTTGCTTCGTTTGCCTGTCTTTTCAGGGTCCCACTTCTCTCCACGCGAGTTTTATAGGAGGAGAAGAGAGACTTGCATGGACCCCAGTGCAGTGGCGGATCCAGGAAATAATATTAGCGGGTGCGCGTAATTTTTTTTTAACAGAAATAGCATGCATATCGTCATTTCATTGAGTCTTAGTACGCCTAAAGTCATTTGGAAAGACATACTGCATACCTATTAATGTCTCATTTGCATGGGTAACTTACATGTCCCAATGCTGCTCCCATATCAATGCTTAACAAAAATAGCATGCATGTAGTCATTTCATCGAGTTTTGGTAGACTTAAAGTCATTTGGAAAGACATATTGCACACCTGTTAATGCCTCATTTGCGTGGGTAACTAACATGTTCCAAGGCTGCTCCCATATGAATGCTTAACAAAAAAACACACTTACCTTGAACACGCTAACATTGTTTGATATCATTGCATCTCATTAATATGTTTGTCCAAGAATGATGATGGTTTGTTATTCTCTGATATCACCATTTCATTTACTTTGCATTTTTGGATAATTTTTTACTTGGTTCATTTTTTCTGCCTACAATTGCAATCACAACCAACAAACAAGCCAGAGGTAAAAAATATTAGGACTAGTCTGTAAAGGGGCAACACCTCTCTAATGCATTTTATCAAGCAATTGAAGGGCATATATGAAGGGCAACTCCAACCTTTAAAGAGGCAGCACCCAAGTCATCCATAGACATTCATCAAAGTTCAGAAGGATCAGCGCTCAAGTTATCCTTGAACATTCATTGAGTTCGAGAGATCAGCTGACCCCCCTACCCCTCAATGCATTTGCCCTGCCCGAGTGTATATTTTTGTTGTTTATATAACATTCATCGTGGAATTTAATTGTATGATGGTTTTTTAGACGCAATTTGGGTAGACTGATTATTTGTAATATTCACCATTCATACATATTAGGCACAATCCAAAGTTATACATAATAGAAGACGAGAGATTAATTAGCTCCCAATTGTTGGATTAAGACACCAAATTTGTTCACTAAGTTATACATAATAGAAGACGAGAGATTCTATGAGCCAAGACGTTTGAAGAAACATGATAAGTTGATAAATCCGAGATTAATACCTTAGGGTTTGTTTGGAACTGTTTTTAAAACGGTTGGAGTTTTTTATGAAAATATTTTTGGAATCAATATTTAGTAAAAATGCAAGTGAATTTTGGAAAAATACTTGAAGTGCTTTATGCAAGAAGAACATAACTACTGGAACTAAAAAACATTTTCTCTAAAAGCGGTTTCAGTCATTTTAAAAGCACTTTATGTCACTAAATAAGAAAAGTCGAAGAAAATTAAATACAAGTGAGATATTAACGCATACGTCTTTAAGAAAGACAAAACATCATACAAAAATCTAAGAAAGACAAAACATCGTACACAAAGCCAAATTGATTAAAACTATCTACAATTTATCATCATTTTGAACTTTTACTTAGGCTGGATGCACATGAATTTTGGTCTACTAGATAATTTTGGTCCATCATAGCGTAAAAATAGGATTTAGGACAAAAGATGGTGGTGCTCATCAATGTGTGGACAATGACCGAATATCCCACACTTAAAAGCCAAACTTTAATCTTCTGTTAAGTTTCTATCAAGCATATAAAGGGACAAAGGGCTGCAAATTTATGACGGATTGATGTCGTTTCAGTCGTTATTATGACATGGTACGACCGTCTTCTCTTTTTTGCTAGAAGAGTGATCAAAATAATCTGTCACAAAAGACTAGCAACTAACGTAGACAAAACCTACTAATCTTGCTCCACAATTTAGTCGCAAAAAGGATATAGACACAGAAACAATTTAGATGGAACAAAATTCTCATTTATGGAAACCTAATATCAATGTTTAACCAAATCCTACCAAATTTTCGGACATACGCCTACCGTACATACCAATTTATGCAACTAGTGGACATACATACCATCAGAAACCTACCATAGGCGGACTACCGGGGTACGATTTCGTTGATAAATGATGGGTTTCGGAGATCGAAAGCAAAATGACTTGGGAAATACTACTTAATCCACATCATATAATTGATGTTAATTAAAGGAACTAAATGTGATTAGGTTAGGTAAACCTTCCATCCAAAACATGAGCTATATCTCACGTTGAAAGCTATATATATGTGGCTTTTTAGGTAAAATAATATATGAGAATGGCATAACTCGTACTTAGTCATTGAGATTTAAAATCGATAAAAATGATTCATGAGTTTGTCCACTGTCAGTCATTTTGATTCTTCAGAGAAAAATCCCCTTTAAAAAAGAGAAAATGATAAAAACACCCTCAATTTTTGTCAAATCATTTGGTCCTATTGTGTATTAAATTGAGGATTTTTTTTATATCATTTTGGTCCTTATTTAACAAATATTTTTCACGAAATGAACAAAATGATTGATAGTGGACAAATTCAGGGACAACTTTTATTGATTTCAAATCTTAAGGACAAAGAGTTATACCAATCTCAGCCACTATTATGGCTAAAATTCTTATATATTTATGTACTCAAATGCTTAGGAGAAGTGATAATATTTTTCATGGTCCCATTAGCTTTAATCAATAAGATGCTTCTATCCTTTAATCTTTCCGCTCCCAAAGCCGGAAAAAGAGCTTGACAGTAAGGACAGCAATGGCTTAGTGTTCTTTTGCCTAACTCTTATTATTATGATACTCAATATTTTCTGCAACTTGCCTGCCAGTATACAAGTCACATAATTTCTCACCCAAATGATGTTTTAATTTTCGGCCCAATTCTTATCATTAGTTAATTAAGGACCCTAATTACCATTACAAGGACTAATCATTCTGTTTATTGAATCAGGGAAAAGTGAAAGGTAGGAAGTAGAAATGAGGTAGGACCCAACAGGGAGAAAAAGAAAACAGTACAGATGGACCATCAAAGCTTGAGAGAAAAGGTCGGCGGACATCTTTTATGTATTCTATTTTTCACTTATCATATGATGACAGAGATAATCATAATAAATATATAACCTAAGATAGTAATAGTATATGACACGAAGATAAATAAAATGAAAGAGCGATAAATACGATTATCTCTCTTGTTTTGCAATGAATTTGTCTCTGCTGCCAACTAACATGTATTTAGTAACCAAAAGCTCTCACTTTACCTTTTTTTTATTTTTTATTTTTAAAATGAGACCAGCAAGTAGCTTTGTTAAGGTAATTCACTATTTTGAGGTTGGAAAGACTCACAGATGTATTTCACTCTCCTTCTGGTCACTATCGTATGATTCACCAACGTTAGAAATCAAACACAAAATGTACCTTTTGGAATATGGGCTTGAAATCCGTTTACAACCACTATATCACCTTGTGGTATTTAACCAAATGCTATTACTTGAACACACTAATCTTTAACTAACATGATACTATTAGTTTATCTCAATGTCAACCCTTTTCCAACAAGACGTGACCTTAAGTTCTTAACTACCATACTATTAAACTTTCCTGAGCCAACCCCACTTATATTATAACAATTTGCAAATTAAAGCTTAGGAATGTCAAATCGTTCGAAAAAGTTAGGCTCTAAAGTCTAAAGCAGGTTCCTATGTATAAAATTTCAACAAAAATAGTAAGGCCTAGTTTTGTCCAACTAATACTTATTTATATAGTAGTTCTTTTATGATACAAACGACAATCTAAACTAAATAAATCTAAAGTATCGGAAAGAGTGATTGAACTTATAGATTTTGAATTAGGGTATCTGAATTAGGGATTTTGAAATAGGGTCCCAAACCGTACCAAAATACCGAATTTTTGGTTCGGTTTTGATTTTCAAAATCCCGTCCCGAAAAGAATCGATTCATTATTTGGTTTGTGCATTTCGGTTCGGGATTCCAATCCGAATCCACCTCTAGTTATTTATGTTATAAGACACAATATATTCATATCATGATAAAACGACACAAGTAGTCTGAATTCTGAAATCTGCAAGAGCGTTACACACAAAATATGCATGGAAGGTTTGTTTAAACAACTTCGGAGTTGACGATAACATCAAGATTCTAGTAATGAAAGGAACAGGTCTAAAGCTGGCTAAGGAGTACCGCCGGGATTGGGACGAGCAGGAGGCGAAGGCTTCGGAATGTACGGGATTATAGGCGCACCGTGCTCGATCGGACCATGTTTGATGGAAGCTTTCGAATTCGGAGAAGGATCAATGGGGCGGTAATCATCCAGATTCACATTGCCAGCACTGCCCTTCTTCTGTGTCCTTGGAGTGTAGCCATTCCCCTGCAGTTTGAGAAACAAAAGACAAATCCCAACATCACGAAGAACTCCTATTAGTACGATGATTAAACAGGCAATAACGTCCTCTGAGCTTGTGAATAGTGTTTGACACGAGGACTTCTATGCAACGGAGATGCTATTGTGCACATATTACATAATAATATCTTCGGACTGACTTTCGGACGAGGGTGATACATGCTTTTTTCAAAAGGTTTGTGCATGTACCTTGAGCTTTCTGTTTGTAACAATCATTTTTGGCCCAACAGCATGGAGGTTGAAGAGACTATCTGTAACAAGAAATTAGGATAAATAGTTGGTAACCGGAAATTAGGATAAATAGTTGGTAACTTTAGTCTTATTTAGAACAAAAATATGGTGACTTTCACTCCTATTAAGCAGTGTTTAAAATATCCACGAAATTGTTGGTATTTCCGTCCAAATATTCAAAAAGTCAAGAATCGATAAGAGAGGGGTCAAATGCAAACTTCACCCTATATTGGTAAGATATAGGAAAATCAATGAATATCAATACTATTTACTAACTTATTATTGAAAATTTGCCAAAACTCATTCCAAATTTCGAACTTCGGAAATTTTTTTTTTTTTGAGATATTTTCTCTAATTTCAACTAAATCTGAATGAGTTGATACACCCATCCTATAGCGAATTCCCATAATTTTTGTCGAAGGCAATAACTGATATCAATTGATACATCCATCAATATTTTCATAAATTTGCATATCGATATTTCCATCTATATCGATATTTCCATCTATATCGATATTTTAATCCTTGCTATTAAGCCATTAACAATTCATAATTAACTAATTACAAAATTATCACTACTTACATAATTCAAATCAGAAAATATAAAACATGGTAGCTCAACACATGAAAGTAAAGAATTTTCAAGGGGATTATGTATGAATTTTCTGCCCGCCATGCAATTATATAACAAAATGGTTAGTAGTGAAAAGCACTGGCCCTACAAATTACACAAGATTACAACCTCAAATGAGTGAGTAAACCAACTTATACTCAAAAGCCAAAAGCCACTCTTTTTTACTACTATTTATAGATTTGAGAGCACCATTAAAAAACCATAACCAAATTCAACCCCAAAAAGATTAAAACTTTACCCGGAAATAAGGAGCCATTTCTGCTGCTGGAGACACTGAGGAAGAACACTACAAGTATTCCGAGCACAAAAGGCAAAACCCAGAATCCAGAAGCCTTCATGGAGCTTTTTTACTTCTTTTTTGGTCTCTCAAACACCCGGCCTGCCGTCGCGCCAAGGATTTTAAGACAACAACGAAGTCCACCACCAGGAATTCCGGCGCTAAGAAGAACAACTCATGTCTTTCTTTCTGTACTGCTTTGTGTTTTTGGGGGCCGGGGGGGGTTGTGGGTTGTGGTTTGTTTTGTGGCGGTGACTGAGTGATAAAAAATAGCATTTTTGCTTACCACACCAGTGCTCAATCATCTTATTTATCACCGTTAGATGAGTTTAAATTTCGAGATTCATGTAATGAATAAGTATAAATCTCAAAATTCAAACTCATTTAACAGTGATAAATAGGATAATGAACATACATTATATAAATAATGGTGAATAAAAATGCATTCAAAATATAATGTGCGTGTCACTGACGTTTCATTTACTGCGTTTTCTTTCTAATAAGTCATAACAGAGCAGAGCATTTAAGAGCTTCATTTACTGTGCTTTTGCAGACACAGAAAGAGAGCAGTCTCGGGTGGGGGAATTGAAAGGCTTTGGTGTTCAAGGGTTGCCGTGGAATGTGAGCTTTTGGGCACGTCTGCTGCATTTGGCTGAGCCAATTTGCACGGTATAAAACACCCTTAAACAGTCATTTTAAATTAAAAGAATACTTAGCTATTCAAAGATGAATAGAAACTTCTACTCAAAATTTCTTAAAATTGTTCGTTGTAAACTTATAGAACTTCGTGTTTATAATCAGAACCGTTCATATTATAAATAACCCTATAAAGATCGCCTCCGCAAAAAAACAATTAAAACTAAGATCATTTAATCATTTAATTGTTTAAAAACAAATGAACGGTATTGGTAAAAGTATTGCGAACCATCCATGTATTTACCACGATAGATTGACTAAACAACTTTAGTTTTAATTTATTTTTTGTAAAGATGATTTTTACAATGTGATTCGTAGTATGAACGATTCTGATCATAAGTACAAAGCTCTGTGATTAAAACACTAAAAATTTTGAGTAGGATTTGCTACTCATATTTGACTAGCCAAATATTGTTCATAGGTTGATATATACAGAATTACATGTTAATTGGTTAATTTCTTGTTTGGTCGCCGAGAAAACAAAGGAAAATGATCGGAAAAACGTAGCTTTTGAAAGATGTGAAAGTAAATTCCGTGAATTTTCTGAAGAAACAAACAGAAAGTGAGTTGCATGAAAATGAATTGACGGTCTTATGGGCGTATCCTTTGCACATGACTCATCTTGTTTTAAATTCTTCTTCACCAAAAAGATGAGAGAACAAGGGCATGGACTAAAGCCAACTTACGTATGTGCGACGACAAACATCATTCGCTAATGACTAGCATCAAATCTAATCAAAACCTGTGAAGCAAGTTAGAAAGATAAATGAAATCTCAGACTAAGAAGGAATGATAAAACCAAAGAGAGAGAAATACCCACTGGATAACAAGATTTCGATTCAACGAATAGTTTCAACAACGGCTCAGTCAACAACTAATTGTCAAAACTTTAAGATTATACTACATTATGGTCTTGGATAAGAAAATGAAAAGGTACAGAAACAATAAAAACGATCCTGAGCTCCATACTTAAGACAACTTGATGGCCAATCTGAATCAGGCGGTGTCTCCATTTAGCGGTACTGCAATGAAGATACAACGCAGCATAAGTACCCATCCAAATTCAAGACATGGACATGCACACACAAATTAATAACAAGCAAGATAGATGTAGAGAAGAGGGGATAATTCTAAATATCAAAAAATTCTCAGACATCCAAGGAAGGATAAAGCAGCATTAGCTCTCAAGCCTGGCGAAAGGCGAAAGCTCTTAGGCGGCCACTGCGAACGTTCTTGAGAAACAAGCCTCAGTTTTTGTCATCATCGATATTTGTAAGATAACGATTTGATTTATAACAGTTGGTAATAAGATCTCGAATCACATCCACATCAACATCAACAAAACTCAAAGTAAAAGAATTTCAAAATATCAACAAACAAAAGGGAATGTTCGACAAAAATAACCTATTCCATCCAACAATAATCAGCAAGTCACAAAAACAAAAACAGCTGACAAAGTAAAAGGATGGAGGTAGGTTGCTTTCATGGACTTGTACATTCCCAAAGCAATCAACCGCTGCTAAGGAGATAACGTAAAGTCCAAAAACTATATGGTATATTGTCTCAGTCCGTTAATAAAATGAAGATACAGAACAGAAGTATCGAAATCAAATACAAAAACTGCAACACATACTAAAGAAGAATAATCAAGCTGCTTCACAATGTATTAAAGGTCCCTTCAATCGAGGCAGGGAACCAGGGAACCAAATGCAGATTATACAATCAAAACAGAAACAAAAAAAAAAAAAGACAAAAGAAATTGAATTCATACCTTGATGAAGCCAATCTCCTTGGCGTTGCTGCGGAAGCACTGCCTGCAGCACATCAGCGCGTACTTCCGGATCAACCCATGAGGGTTTCCACACACTCGGCTGTTCATATTAACAAAAAATATTCCATATATCACACCCAAAAAAATACATAACAAAACCACTAGCAGCACATAAGTATAAAAATATGCAATACACAATAAATCCAGACCCGTGATTAAGATTCTTAAAAGTGATTAATTAAGCTAATACAAACTCAAAAACTCCGGTAATACAGATAATATTTTACACATAAATCGTACAACACAGATATAATACCAAAAAAGTAATTGTTCATACATAATCCAAATCTCAGGAAAGAAATGGTGATTAATTGCAGAAATATCGGTAAAATAATCATGCCCAGATCAACATAAACGCAGAATTTAAGAAAAATAAGTGAGATTTGGGGATTAAAATTCATACCAAGTGCGGGAACCAGGGCCGTAGTTCTTGGGGTGAGAGTTCCAGACGTTCGAGTGTCCCATCTTGAATCACGCTAGGGTTTTCTTTCTGCGTCGCCTCGGCAGCTGCGGGAATACGATGGAGATCTAAAACCCTAATCCTTGTGACTCGCATTTGCGAACCGTCGTTGGTTATATAGTACCAGGTACAACGCTGCGTTTTGGTCGTTTGCCCCCTCTGTGCAACGTTGCGCTTCTTCCTCCAACCGGCACGTGCTGTTGCCAACCAGGCCTCATTTGGGCTTTAGGAACCAATCCTTCGAGGCTCTGTTTAGAATTTGAGTCCATATGTGATGTTGGGCCAAATAAGAAGAGAATTTTTTGTATAGTGCTCGTGCCACATCATCTATCCACCCAAGAATTGAAGGCACACAAAAGACGATCACTTCGTATTACGAATTTACAATCTAGTAGTATTCTTCTTTACTTATAAGAAATATTTTAGGTTTGAATCCCTTTGAAGGCAAATTTGAACTACTTTACTGCTAGCCTATTGTGAGGTTTAGCACACTCCCTCATCCCTTACCTGTAAATAATATCGTTTGTTAAAAAAAAAAAAAAAAAAAAAAAAGCAAACCAGAAAAACAGATCATGCTTGCTGTGTTCCTTTTTTTTTTTTTTTTTTTTTTTTTTTTTAACAAGTGATATTCTTTACACTAAGGGAGAGTGAGTGAATTTAGTCTTACAATGAGCTAGTAATAATGTGTTTTTTGTGTGTTAAATTCGTTATATTAATGAATCGTATCGTATTAACTTGTTATTTTAATGCGTTTAAAACTTCAAACCCAAACCCATCCAATAAAATTAACGGGTTACCTGACCCGTCCTATTTACCCGTTAAAGACAATATATTACTTTCAGGTATGAAAGTAGAAAGAAAAAAGGTGCGTGAGAAGTAAAATGGGGTGTGTCGATATCACACCCCAAGAAAAAATCTTTACATAGAAGATTTGGAGTTCTAGAATAGTTGATAGTATTAAAGTGGGCCACAATTCTCGTTACTGCAGTCATTGGGCCAATAAATAAGTTACAATTGACCCAAGTAAAAAAAAAGGGTCCGGAAACCTGTAACATCTTCCTGGGAAGCATCTGCCACCCTGATGAACCAGTCCCTCTGAACGTCGATCTTCGAGCGTACCAAAATAATTAAAAAATGAAATAAAAAAAAGAGAGAGTAATGTCCAAGGCTCGCGTATACGTAGACGTCAACGTTCAGCACCCCAGAGATTACTGGGATTACGAATCCGTCACTCTACAATGGGGGTAATAGTCTAATCACAACCACCTTTGTAATTGAACTTTTGATTTATTTTTCTTCTTTTTATTTTGAATGTTTTACTACACCTGCTTATGTCAATTTGCAATCTTAGGGTTCATAGATTTGATTGTGTGTCTTTGTTGAAGGTTTGGGGTATTGGATTTGCATTTGATATCAAATTGTTGTAGAATTACTCACGCTAGGGCCCGCTTGGGACGTTCGAGTGAAGAAGCGCTTTTGGTTAGCTGACATCGCTTTTAGCTATTTCAAAAGCAGTGCTTTTCGCATATGTGATTTTAGAGATTTTATTTTTAAGTATCTCGAGGCGGGCCTTGGTGTAACGGAAAGATTGTTTCTTTGTGACCGAAAGGTCACAGGTTTGAGTTGTGGAAACAGTCTCTTTGCAAAGAAGGGTAAGGCTGCATATGATAAACGCTCATTCCCTCCTTGACCATCGCAAAGGGGGAACCTTGTTGGCTTGAGTCGGCCTTTTTTTAACATTATTTTTTAGTATCTCCGCATGACATTTTGAAGGTGCATTTTTTCAACTCCTGTACTTATTGTTTACTTTTTTTGTTATGCTCAGTGAACAAGATGACTATGAGGTTGTTAGGAAGATCGGAAGAGGAAAATACAATGAGGTCTTTGAAGGTGTAAATGTCACCAAAAACGAAAAGTGCGTTATGAAGATCCTTAAACCCGTCAAGAAAATGAAGGTTGTGATTTCTTAATTTGTCCCCATACTCTAGCATATACATTGTTGTACCTTTAACTTATTTCCCTTTCTTTCAATTTGTTTCATGGTGGGCATGTTCTAGGATGGATTGGTAATTTATATAGTTTGTGAGTCATGGCAATGATATGTTGAACTTTTTTAAATCCACATTTTTGTATTCCTGTTTCATTTAAATACAGTAATTTGTTCGTATTCATGCAGATAAAAAGAGAGATAAAGATACTACAGAATCTTTGTGGTGGTACAAACATCGTGAAGCTGCTTGACATTGTCAGGGATGAACACTCAAAAACTCCTAGCTTGATCTTTGAGTATGTGAACAGTGCAGATTTCAAAGTGTTGGACCCTGCACTGACGGATTATGACATTCGCTACTATATATATGAACTTCTCAAGGTTTCTCATCTTATCCTTTTGCTAAACGTTTATTTTTCTAACCACTTCGGTACATATACTTTTACTGACAACAATTTGTCTTTTAATTGTGTGAAAGAATGTCATGGTTCCAACTTGTACTGCTTAGCTGCTGCATGCTTGGCTAATCAAAAGTTGGTCTCCTAATTGCAAGCATTGGATTACTGCCATTCGCAGGGCATAATGCATCGAGATGTCAAGCCTCACAATGTTATGATTGATCATGATCTCTAGAAACTTCGCTTGATTGATTGGGGTCTCGCTGAATTCTACCATCCTGGAAATGAGTACAATGTCTGAGTAGCTTCAAGGTAGAATCTCTTCGATCCTCTAACTTTATTACCAATTCATTGAATTGTTAGTTTTCTTCTAGATTTTGGAAAGGCATATATCTATTCATTCTATGTTTCGTCTAAGAGTAAGACTTGGGTTGGATCAACCCAATCAATCCAAAATTTGGACAACTCGGGCAAGAATCTTCCATAAGTCGAGCAAACATGGACATAATTTCTTAAGTTGAATAATAGTTGTAGGGATTGTGAAGATGGTGCTTTGTGCAGTTATTGCTCGAACAATTATCAAACAGAACTTGCAGTGAGACTAAGTTTATTATCAATAGATTCAATGGTGTCTGATGGCAAAAGGGTTTATAGTTAGTTCAATGCCAACTTCTTACATTGTCAACATGCGAATTTTCTGTTTGCTTTGCAGAAAGTATATAAATTTGAATGTTGTTTATTAGGCACTATAAAGGGCCTGAACTCCTCGTAGATCTACAAGACTATGACTATTCGTTAGACTTGTGGAGCCTTGGATGTATGTTTGCAGGAATGGTGAAGGTTTATGCTTCCCTGTTGTTACTGTGTATTTAGGATTTTTGTAGCTGCTACATTTTTGTTAGTTATGACGAATTTTTCTCAACGAGGTGTTCTCTTTCTTACAGATCTTTCGCAAGGAACAATTCTTTTATGGTCATGACAATCAGGACCAACTAGTAAAATTGCTAAGGTAATTTTGGTTTCATACTTGGCTTGAAGATCTTATTATAGGCAATCCATAACCTATATGATTTAGCACTTTAATCCACCAAAACTAGTTTAAAAGTCACCTCAAGATTGTTGAGTTTTACCTTTTGTCTGTAAGTTGATCAAACATTTACTGTTATACTGTTGCAGCACTGAGGTTTCACAAACCGTCAGAAATGGTAGTGAAGTCTTTTTAGCTAGTGTCTATATTCATATAACTTGTTATCTTATGTTCATGAATTCTTCCTCAGGTTCTTGGGACATAAGAATTGAATGTATATTTGAATAAATATAACCTTGTGCTTGACCCTCAGCTTGATGTTCTTGTTGGAAGGTATACTTCTCATTTTTAGCCTGGAACCGGAAGATACACCTACATGATCAAATCATTATGGTTGAAAGACAAAAAGTGGTTTTAGGCCTTTGGTTCATATTTAACCCAAAAGGAAAGGCGTCGCTTTGTCTGTCTTTCCGTTAGATGATGCTTAAACATTGCAGTTGTATCAGCAAAGCTATAGAGTAAAAATTTATCCTCATCTTTCCATTTTTATGAAGTTACCTCCTCTTCGTGGATAAATAAATAATGAGTAAATAGCTGAACAAATAATTCAAGGAGTCAAATGAACAAAAAACAGTTATCTATGCCATACTCACACATCATTCTAATTTCATCCTTTTTTTTTTTTTTTTTTTTTTCCAGTTTAGGCAAAGCAGGAAGCCATGGTCTAGATTTATCAATGCGGAAAATCAGCATTTGGTTTCTCCAGAGGTAATTTTCTTTTGGGTTTCTTTTCTTCATCTTCTTTTCCTTACTAGTGATTATTTGATCCTCTTTTTCGCTATGCCCAGGCCATTGATTTTCTAGATAAGTTCTTCGATATGATCACCAGGAAAGGCTTACAGCAAGAGAAGCAATGGTATTTTTTAAGATTAATTGTTGTTTCATTTCATTCCTTTCTTTTTCCTTCATGTGAGTTTAACATATGTCTATATAGTGGTCAGATACATAATGTCAAGTAGTTTAATTACGTATTATGTTCAACTGTTAAGCACAAAACATAATTATCGTTGGGTACCTTCACATTTTACACATGCTCAGGGTTTATTGTTATACTTGTAAAGATAATAAGTTCACGTATTCCATGTTTCAGGCTCGTGCATACTTCTCCCAAGTGAGAAGTGTAGAAAATAGCTGAATACGGACGCAATAACACCAGACTCCAATAGAATCCTTTGGTAAAAAAACTTGTATCCCCTTTGTCTTTCTGTGTAGACTACTAGACTGTGAATGATCACTAAAGAAAAATATTTACCTAACTTAGGTTGTTCATTACATCCATTCTTTTCAAAATTTTATTGCTGATATTCTTTCTTTTCCAAGCACATATTTGTATTTTTCACTTGTTATGACCTAGTAATTAATCAGAATGCAATGCAACAGTATTTGATGGTCTCAAAACCTGTTTGCTTTGGTTTGCGTATTTTAGATTTTGCATTATGTTGGTCCATATATGCGTGCTAAAACAACAATCAAAATTCCAAAAACAATCTTCAATCAACCAACAAACATGCACTTTTATAACATATTCCCCAAATAGATTTAAGTGCATGCACAAACATGCACTTAATGCACTTTTCAAACACATTTATACAATTTCTTCTTTTCGGGTCGGGAACTTGTCATTTTTGAAGATGAGGGAAACATGTGTAAACATCAGATTTGGGATGTTTAGCTTCTGCATGCTCCCTGCACTTCACCTCGCTCGTCTTGCATATGAATACTTGCATACACACCTTGCAATGCAATCATCAATCACTACCTTGCATCAGAAACACTGCAGATGCTCAAAGTACAATGAAATTTTGGTGCCAATTAGCTTCGTTTACATGAATTGTCATTGATATCTTGTTTGATTCAAGCTGGCTGCCTGCGTGTCGAGAGATGCACAAATTAGTAACACATATATTCCTTCGTTACAAAGCTAACTTCTGTTTGGCGGCTTAGAAAATGAGTTAAAGAAAATTCATCACTACAACTTAATTACTTTGCTCAGATGAACACAATGTAGTTTATGAGGAAAACCAAATTGAAAGATGGGAGGGGGGTGACAGGTACCTTTGGCAGCATTTTTTTGCTTCTCCATGTTCCTTTGCCGAGCCATCTTCGACTTCTGGCTGTTGCCTCCTCCCATGGCTTCTTCTCCTTCTTCTCATTCTTAGTCTCTGAATGCTTCTAGGGCAGGGTTATTAATGATGCTAGAGAAAGATGAATGTTTTTACTTTTAAGAATGGCCAAGAAGTTGCGATGATGAAAAAGACATCTATAGATCACTGTCATCAATTAGGTATTGTTGGAGCCAGTAAAGAAACCACATATCCAAGGGCTACCTAGAAACTTCCACTCAAGCCTTGAGGCTCTATTCACACCGGGGACTTACCTACGCTCTCTGATGCCACTACGGCATCCTAGAAGATAATATAAAGTCATGTGTTTTAACTTTCTACGTGATATTATATCATTGATTTGAGATACTTAGGTGGCACCATAGTCTACAAAATGTTTCATTTGGATTGACTTAGCAAATGAATTCATACCACACGTGGTGCTATGCTCACTAGTGGTGTGTGCTTAAACAGCTGGAGCTCACAACAAATTGTGGTTTGGAAGCTAAGCAAATAAATTGACTAGAAATATGAGGATTTCTATTGACATCAAATGTTCATCTTTCCAATTAGCACTTCAAGTCTATTGATATAGAAAAATCTCGTATTTGAGTCACATGTATGCAATAACGGTTTAATATTTGTGTTAAGTTTGGGGACTAATTATTGTTGGCTTATTTTGAGGTTTACCGCAAATCCTCTCCTGAATAAGAGAGCCAATAGAACATTCCTTAAACACCCAATATAAACCAATAGAACCCACAATTTTCTTGTGTCACCAATAACCAACTGCTTTTATCCAATAGAGCTAGGCAAAATCTTAGGTGTAAACAGGTGTATATTAGTTTATATCTATCTCTCTTTCTTCATATGATGTGTCATGTAATAAGATAATTAAGCACGAAATATCATACATCCGCTTGCACATAAGTTTGTCTTTATCTTTGTCACTTAGTGCTACTGTTTAGTGATATTTCTTTTCACATATAAAAGGTCTTAAGTTCGATTCTCACCAAATACGAATTTGAACTAAATTATTTGGCTATCCATTGTGAGACTTAGTCTAGCCTCCACTCTTTCGTGTAAACAATGTCGTATGTATTAAAAAAATTTATCTTCATCTTTAAACTCTTTGCCACCAAATAACCAATCCTGACCCTTTACCTCACCCCCGTCCAATAAAACTCATATTTGAACTCTTCGTTGCCAGATAGCCCAATTCTAACTTGTCACCTCACATCCCGACCGGACACAACTCATTCCTTTTAGCCCAACTTAGCTCACTCAATAAGAGGCCCATGTTTTGAAGCCCAAGATAGGCCCACCACAAGAATGTGTGACCCAATTCGCTGATTCCTTGAGTCTGAAAATGAAGTTGAAATAGTGAACCGAAAAAACCTGATTCTTTGAGTGAGTGGCTAACCTGACCACGATGTCAAAATATTATTTTATGGGTCCAATATATGGGGTGATATATCATTTATTATTACATAAGTGATTAGATTTTTATGTTAAAAATTAATAACATAAAAAATAAAAGTTTTTACCATTTATATAATAATACGTTGTATACCTTTGTGATACGAAAACAACAAAAAATTTCTCCACGAGGTGTGCAGAAAATAAAAAACGGCAGCAACAATGCACATGACGCCACCAACTGTTATTAAATCTACAAACACCCACCCTATCGCTGACCGCCGTCACCGATTTGTCTAGACAGGATAAGAATGAAAAAGCATCACAAAATGACAAATTTAACTTCCAAGAAAGCTTAACCAGCTCCACTGTAGAATTTTAGATTAGACTGATTGCACAATAGCCATTAGTTGGGCGGTTGACTGAAATTTAATACTTAGGCAGTTAGACAGAGTTTAGGAGAATTTAAGTAAATTTATTATACACAGTACAAATTAGTTTTTATTTATAGTTAAAAAAATATACATGTACTCAAAAGAAAAAAATATACATAATTGTATTGAAAGATATAAGTTACAAAATAAAATGAACTATAAATATAATGAGCAGTTTATTCGAGCATTAACAAACCTCTTATATTTTATTAAAAAAATAAAATGAAAAATGAAAGTATAACTTTTCTGTATATGTGAGAGTTGCGACTTATGTGAGACTAGGAGGTGCCTAAGTAGGTCTTAACGTCATTTCTAAATTTTCAAATGCATAGGAATTTAATTCGGACTATGACTAGCGGCCTAGCATCTAGGCAGATATTTTGAGAACATGCTTACATGAAATACGAATGTAGAAATAGTTATGTAGCATACTATTAATGCAAAAAAAATCTCAATTAAGTTATATTATTTGTTTGAAATGTGACGAAATTTCAATTGCGTAAAAGTGCATTATATTATTAGTCTGAAACGTAATGTGTTGGTTGGGGGAGGGATCAAATTTTCTACTGCTACACTTATTTTAAATGCAGAATATTTGATCTTGTCTGAGGGTCGAGGTCTTCGAGCGGGGGACTGTAAAATGTAAATGCATGGACCATTTGAGGACGTCCAATAGGAAACGGAAGTGTGTCCGTCAGAAAAAGTGACGCAAGGGCAAGGCAGCAGAAACAGCATTAATAAAACATCAGAATATGCTTCGCTCTGCTCTGCAAATATCCCTTTCTCTTTGCTCACCTTTGATTATTATTTTTAATTAACTTTTAAATTCATCGCCCAATCGCTTTTAATCTCCCCTTGTTTTCATCCTTCGATTTCAATTCGCTGTTCGCAGAATTTTGGCCTCTAGTAAATTAAACACCATGGACCTCTTTCAGGACCTGTTTCTGACGGCGTCGCTGGCTCTGATCCTCTCTTTTCTCGTCGCCAAGCTCGTCGCCGTGGCGGTTGCTGGCCGCGAGTCGGAGGCGGAGCTCGGGGAGGGTGGGAATGGCGGCGGTGAAGGAGTTGGTGTGGAGGAGGTGAGCTTCGAGGAGAGGAGGCTGAAAGTGGAAGGCCTTTTCGCGGTCAGAGTCAGAGGAGGGTAGAGCTTGAAGGAGAAGTGAAGGATGTCGTTCGTTTCGAAGGGGAAGCGGTTCATCAGGCTGAGGAGATTGCGGAGCTGCTGCAGCAGCATCGACAAGGTCGTGGATTGACGGAGGAGATGTTGGAGAGAGTCGGTGGCGGTTGTATTGCCGGAGAAGTGGTCAGCGGCGGTACGATTGCTGGAGAAATGGTCGGATGGCGGGGAATTCGAAGGGGAAGCGGTTCATCGGGCTCAGGAGGTTGCGGAGCCGCTGCAGCAGCATCGCGAAGGTCGTGGATTGACGGATGAGGAGTCGGTGGCGGTTGTATTGCCGGAGAAGTCGTCAGTGACGGTAGGATTGCCGGAGAAGTGGTCAGATGGCGGGGAATTTGAAGAGGAAGCGGTTCATCGGGGTGAGGTGATTGTGGAGCCGCTGCAGCAGCATCGAGAAGGTTGTAGATTGACGGAGGAAGAGTTGGTGACGGTTGTATTGCCTGAGAAGTCGTCTATGGCTGTAGGATGGCCGGAGAAGTGGTCGGATGGCGGGGAATTCGAAGATGAAGCGGTTCATCGGGCTGAGGTGATTGTGGAGCCGCTGCAGCAGCATCGAGAAGGTCGTAGATTGACGGAGGAAGAGTCGGTGGTGGTTGTATTGCCGGAGAAGTCGTCAGTGGCGGTTGTATTGCCGGGGAAGCGGTCGGATGGCGGGGAAATGGAGAAAGCGAGCGAGTTCGATCGCGGAAGCTCGGAAAACAGAGAAGCGGAAGAACTTGGCGCGAAGTCAGTAGGAAACGACGTCGTTGCCGAACAGTCGGAGGAGGTTAGGGTTGTGGATTGCGAGGAAACTAAGAAGAAGACACACGTGGCGCCAAGTGAGGTTAAATCGGGAGATTTCAGTGACGAGGATGATTGGGAGGGGATCGAGAAGAGTGAGTTGGATGATGAATACGCTGCGGCGGTGAAATCTGACGGACACGATTGATGGGTCGGCGAATGTCGGTGGCATGTGCAGGTATCCAACGGCTCTCAACACTTGAGAGCGTGCCAAGTGGTATTAGACTTCCTATTATCTCTCCGTTAATATAATTAATTTGTGTAGCTATCCATATCTCTGTGCTTGTTTTTACTTGGTCTCAACTCTGAAAAAATGTGAAAAATGTGGAAATACAAGGTGTTCAAAACAGAAAAAAAAGTAGGTAAATGCGAAGCAAGATATCCAACACTAACCAAGCTGGAAAAATGTGAAAAATGTGGAAATACAAGCTGGAAATTCCAGACCTGTATTCATATAGTACATTCAATTTATGTCAATAGTGAATCTCACAATAAAAGCTGAAATGATTACGTGAGTCTTTACGACACTCAAAAAAGTGGGCTGCTTCGCCACCAGTTGGCCCTTTTTAAAAAAAAAAAAAAATCAAGATAAAGTTATATTAGAAGCAGAGGGCCTAGTCATTGTTATTTCTTATATTTTGTTGGGGGCAATGCTTAGGGGTGTAACTTGGGTTGGGTCAATCCGAACCTACTCATGTCTAATCTGACTTTAAATCCAAATAAGCGGGTTTTTTTTTAGTTATAACCTGCCCGAACCAAACCTAATTTCAACCCGTTCATTGATTGAGTTGAGTTGGGTTGATCATTTGTCCATCCATCCCCAACCCAACCCAACCCAACTCGACTAACCAAACCCAATCTAACTATATTGTAACCCAAATCAATTAATGCTCATACTACACCCAAGTGAGCCAAGTCCAAAAACCAACACCCTTTCTAATATTTTTTTTTTTATAATAAATTACCATTTATAATTACTTAAGCTTTTAGGGAATAAGAGGTTTTGATTAGTCAGCTCATATTTGTAGTCTCTAAATCCTAAAGCTTTATGAGAGATTGATTTATGAAATTAAAGTTACCTAGCTTTGATGCTACTTGGCATAATTCTTTTAGGAATTCTTGAAAACTAAGTTGATACAAGATTAAACTTGAAAAAGTTGAGCAACTCGAACCCAACCCAATTAAACCTGAGTCCAAATGAACCCAAGTGAAACCCAACTCGAACCAAACCCTGATTGTAAAAGTTGGGCTAGGATTAGGTTGACCTTCCAACCCGCCCAACTCGCCTGAGTTACACCCCTAATGCTAGGATATCAGCTACTTAGACTAAATTTTGTAAACTATATGACGTGGTTGATGATTGGATTATTACTTGAGTGATTGTCTATCTACCATTACTCTTTGTGACCGTCTAAATACATTTTATTGGTCTGCAATGTTTGCATTGTTCTGTTTTATTTCTTTCCCACTAAGTACTCCACCTTATGAGCAAGGGATTCGTTTGCCAACGGTCTGAAAAAACTACCTACTAACTCTGCTATCCCTCTCCATCTATGGGAAATCTCTCTCTCTCTGAGTCGGGCAAGTGATTAGGTCAAACAGCGTCATTTCTTAGTTCCCAGTACAAATTCTGTTCTGCATATATGCATGCATAGATGTGATTTACTCGACACTTTCATTTCCTTGTGATTGAAGCTAAAATTGTTGACATATATTTTTTGCAACGCGTAGTTGACTCTTTTCCGCAATCTTTCCTCTTTATATCAGGCTTCTAATTTTTCAATTTCTCATTGATCCATAGCATTACAGAACGGGATGTGTTACAATCGATCTAGAATTATTTCAGGCTTCTAACTTTATTACTTGTAACCGTAATACTAGGGGTGCAAGGGGAAGAGACTTTGATTTGTTTCATAACAGAGTTGCAGCTTCGAAGGCGGCAAAGTAAAGAGCTACAGAACAGAAGTAAGACATTTTATTTGGTTTTTCTTGCTTCTTGTCCCCATAGGCATGCTACATTGGAAAATAGTTATTCATCTTGCTCTAGTAAGATTAGGGAAGATTCATGGACCTAGTTCATCTTCTCATTATGACCATATTCTCCACCGCCCACACCCATCCCACCACCATAACCTGGGCCTGTGCCTCCCCCAAATCCACCATCTCCTCCACCACCATTACCAAATCCACCACCATTATGAAATCCACCACCATTCCCAAATCCGCCACCATTACCAAATCCGCCACCATTGTGAAACCCACCACCATTACCACCATATCCCTTGCCACCGCCATTATCACCACCAAAGCCTCCGCCACCACCAGAGCCTCTGCCGCCACCAGAGCCTGAGCCATAACCTCCGTAACCATCAGCTGTCAGCCCTTGAGAAGCAGCAGCCTCTTCACTGTGCCAATTCTTTATCCCATGGTCCAAACCAAGTCTCTTGTCTATCAAATCCCTCCCTTGAATCCCATCTCTGGTGGCTTCAACTGCTACATAACTAAAAATCCCCATAGCCAAGAACATTAGACTCCATGAAACTGCATTGCTCCTCGCCATGACTTTTCGTATTACCTTTGCACCTTCAGTAGAGAAGATAAACCTATGTTAGTATTCCAAAAGGAGGGGGAGAGAGAGAGAGAGAGAGAGAGAGAGAAGAGCGCTGACCGTTAAGTTATGTGACGTCGTTAGTCTTCCGCTTTACTAGCTTTGAAGGGCCTTGATGATCACTGGAGCTGAGAGATTTAAACCGAATTTAAGATAGAGAGTGAGCTTTAGTCAATGACCCTAACGAAATAAGGTAGGTTCCTTACATTTATAAGGCCGTCTGTCATAGGTTATGAGTTTCTAAGAGCTGCATGGCAGATTGGCCTGGGGAGGAAGGTAAGGTTGCAGGTCTGCGTGATGACGATGACTCGTGCCAGCTTGATTCTGGTGGTGATGTCGATTTGCATGACCACAAGGCTTCAAAGTTGCTGCATTATAATTCTGCTTCTGGAATTTTATGCTTCTACTTTTATTGGGCTTAGTAGTCCATGGGCTGTTCCCTTTCTTTCCTAGAGGTCCAAAACGAACAAGAGCACAGAAACTGGGTTTTTCTTCAAAAAAACCGAGATGGATGGGCTTGAAAGATGCGAACTAAGAGGGCATTGGGTCGGGTTGAGGTGATAAATTAGGTACTCGTTTTAAAATCTAATGTCGAAACATGCAGCTCGCATATTGGTAGAAGCAGACGTGCTCCTCTTTGTGCACTTGAGTCGAATCCCATTCACGTTAGTTTAAATACTTAAAAGTGAATTATCGTTTGTTTTAGAAAAGGTTGAACAAGTTTTATTGTCCATATAGGTTCCACACAGTGTCATTTTCGTCCACGTATTTGTAACTGGGCTTCTTGTTGCAAAATGTTTCTAACCCAAAACACTATGACATGGAGAAGTTCGATAACGTTATTAGTATGATACCTCTCACTTATATAATGGTCACACTCGATTTCATTTTAGTCTGCTCATAGCGCAAGGGACTTGCAACACCCTTAAACATAAATATGACATTGTATTATTAGTAGAGACGTTATAGCACTCATACTCGTAATCATGTAAGTTTGCCCTTATCACCTAAGACACAGTCATGCGAGTCGGATGATGGACGTGTAGCGTTGAAAGAAGGGTGGTACGGACCGTTGCGAGTGATGTCGAGTGTTGAAAACTCCTGCAATCCGACCCTGACCAGCCACACATAATGGTGGACACCACCGTTAGGGTTTCTGTAATGTTTCTACCTTAAGATTCTTTATTCATGGTCTCAAATCAAACTGGGATTATTATTTTTTTAGATAATTTGTTGAGCTAATGGACAAAAGAAAGTTGGGTTATTTCCAATTTGCCTTTACCTGGCTGCCAGGCCGGTTTGAAAACCCAGAAGAAAAAGAGTGTCAATCAACGAGGTGATGGTCCCATAATGTTGAGGCTGAGGCTGTGCCGCCCTACATGGTGACACCAATAAGAGAGCTGTATATTCTAAAGCTTACCACTAATCACACATCCTGTTTTGTTTTCTTACATTTTTCATACATTATATGATGGGGATGGACGTATGATTAACACGAGTATTAATTAGAAGAATTACAGCTTGTCTGGAAGAGCTTTTAAAATGACTGAAAGCGCTTTTGATGAGAGTGATGTTGAAATCAATTCTTAGTAAATATGCAAGTGAATCCTGAAAAAACACTTGAAATACTCCCGGTAAGAAACACACAACTAGTGCAAGAAGCAGGAAGAATTTCAAGTGCTTTTAAAACACAAAAATATTTTGACCAAAATCAATTTCAGTCATTTGAAAATCACTTCCAAACGAGTTCTTAACTAGTTTTTAGTTTAATGATACTTATCATCTCGATGTTGAAAGATGTTACAAGTTCGATTTTTTTTTTTTTTTTTTTTCCGGTTATAAAATGCTTTGCGAACGCAAGGTCGTTTTAGACATAAAAAACGTTGTCACACAAGTTGGAATTTTCTTCTTATCATGTGATGGTTGTGTGTAGTAATCAGAAAAGACAATTCAACATGCATAAGCAATCAAACGACAATTGACTAATTAAGACCACCTTCAAATCTTCTAATTAATTATTTGGAGACATTAAGTGGGAGAGAAAATGACATTTCAACTACGATTTACATTATTGTTAATTATGCATGCCATGTGGCAGTTGCTTCCAGCATACGTCGCCCACCCGATTTCCAGTAAGGTTTTTTGCATCTGGATTGTCATATGTGATTAAAATTTTAATTACGTATATATAATGCATATAGACGGTTTTATATTTTATGGGAATTTCGAAGCAGTCCATTAAACTTAATTTTAGGGTTTATATCACAATGGAAGTGTTGCTTTTTTGTGATAAAAAAATCACGAGTTTTAGTCGTGAAAACAATCTCTTTACAAAATATAAGATGAAATTTCGTACGTGCGATAGACGTTTTTTTTCCGATACACGCATAACGAAAAACTTTTTTGGTTTGCGGTTGCCTTTTATATCGCAAATTAGAAGAAACTAGATGCCAATTTACTGGTAAAGATTTGATGGGACAATTATAAGGAGGCAAAAACAACGGAGTGGGCCGCAAAAGTAAAGATTCCTTGAACAACCTAGCTAGATTAGTGATTCTTTAAGAACTCAATAGTACCATTGCTTGCTTTATCATGATATCAATGTTGAACATTATTGTATTTTAACAATCTTACATCGGAAATATGACAAAATTAAAAACAATCGATACATTAGCTCTCGCATGGCCGCACCCCTGTTGTTTTATTAGGTAATTAAATGCAAGCTGAAACAATATTGGTGTAATTAATATTTAGCCATTGTTCTGCTTCTTTGAAAATCTTGACAATAATCGCTAATCATCAACTTCAAAATTGATTATACAAAGTTCACAATCACATTGCCTTCACATGTTGTCAATCATTTTGGCCAAAATGTGGACTCCATCGAATGCAATAAGAAATGATATAAACTCAATTAGATGCTTATGATCCAAACATATCTTCCTTGAAATCTGAATAAATTTCACATAATTCTCTATTAGCTTCAACTGGAAGTTAGCTTAATTAATTTAGAATACATGTATGGTCCTTAATTTTCGATTGGTAAAGAGAAGCAATTATATAGATAGATCGGCTACTCTCATCACCGACGCAAAAACATACCCGAAACCTCAAGTCGAAAGAACACTTAACTATCACTCGTACGCTAAACAGTATAAGCAGGAATCCAATGGGAGCTTCCACTCATGAATTATTAGTGGTAGGGTCCCTTTTCCAGCTAATGGACTAGGAGGTAGTCCAATCTAGCATATAAATACACAACGTGCATGTCTTTTTCTTCTATGATTAAATAATTTAATAACAATTACCAATATATAAATTAGATTCTTATGAAGTATGATCAAGTAATAGTATCAACTAGTGCATAATTTACACAAGATAAACTTTGATTCATGTACGCTTTCTATCTCTAATCTCTACCACTACCATGCTGCACGCACGCAGGGTCACATTTGACGGCCAATTTCAATATCTGATCATTATTGTGCTCATTTTCATGACACAGATTTAAAAGTAACATGTATTATATCGTTTTTAGAGATTATTTTTTTAATGCCACTACAAACACCACCGTTTCTATGTATACTAAATTTTAGTTATTAATTGATGTTTCATGATATGGGTCTAGCGGCAGAGGGGAAGCTACGAAGGGACCAGGATGGTCCCAGACTTATCCTAACATTTTTTTTTTTTACGTATAAATATTTAGTTTTATGCTTCTGATTTTCAAAGTTATTCCGTAGGCTCAAGGCCTAAATTCAACTTTTTTACTTTACTTTTTTTTTTTTTTTTTATTGGATTTACTTTACTTTACTTCTATGGAGCTCAACCAATTTGTTGCTTGTGCGCTTTGAGGAGGACTCTATTTTGGATACCAGTGGAGCAAAGAGGAAGAAAGTCCTAAAGGCTTGGGATTTAGGTTTAAGGAAGAGGATGATGAGAACGTCACCATATCAGGCCCAAACAATGGTACTCGGTTGCTCACCACATGACAGAGTAATTTTTGTAAGATCAAGAAAGTGTTTCAGATTGAGACATTTGGACTCCTCCTAAACTAAAATGCTGGCTTGCTACTATCTACTGATGAACTTTATATATTCGTATCAAATGAAACATCGCAATATTTCGGTTACCAAAATTGTATAAGGAGTTTATATCTTAGTGCTATTAACACAAGATTGTAATGTTTTTTTAATATCAATATGATGGTGAGATTGAAAGTTGGTTGAAGGCACATGATAATCATCACCCTCAGCAGCAGTCCACATTAGCCCAATCAATGTTAATGCTAATTTAAGTGAGATTTCCACTAAAACCATCGGATGAGGGATGATGATTGCTCTAATGTGGAAGGGATATATATCAGGATCAAAATCAGACGACGAACAACAAAAAGGTGCCTTACTATTTCACGTCCAAAATTAATTACCGAAAAGTCGTAGAGCAACATAATTGTTTTCCCTTATGAAACAGATTGAAACAAAAATTGTCATGTCCAAAAATTCAATTTCACAATTCAATATATATCAAAATTGTTTTCCCACGACCCTGGTGATGGTGTCGATGGATAGAATAAAGGAAAACGATGTTGGACTCATAACATATGTTAACCGACAAGTTATGGAACTCACACTATTCTGGTTGGACTTGTAACTAAAGTAGGAATCCGATACGTGATTGTCCATTATTCGCATAAAAAATAGTACAATAGACTCAAATCAATTTTAATAGTTCATGGCCTATCTCATCTAACTCATCAAACGGATCCTAAAAACATTTAAAAGTAAATGCATGGTGCCAAATTTAGTGAATTTTACCCATTCATCTGAAATTGTTATTAGGTAGGGTAGGCTTATGCAGCACCTTACCCTCTAAGCTTTTATACTATGTTCACAAGACATTGCTACACAAATTTAATAAAGAAAACCAGAAAAATAATTGAGTCCTACCATAATGATTAAACCAAACCTAATAACTTAATTAAGTATACTTAATTACTTTTTTCGTTTTCTTGACTTCAGCTATTTAGGCTGCCCCACTAAACACCACCAATTATGTAGGGACAAATCACTTTTCAAACCCTAGGAGCCTAGGAGGAGCATAAGAATCAAATTTGCAATCACAAAAGTTGGTTGGAAAAGAGAAAAAGCAATAACAACAAAATAAATACATAAATAATCCAAAAATAAAAAAGTAATACTACAATTATCATATTTTATATTACATTTGTGACATCTTTTTGGTAAAGTTGAGGTCTTCCAACACATATTCCGTCTCTATCAAAAATATAAATTTGATATTAAAAATGGGACAAGAGTAGTATTTTGTAATTTTAATTTCCCTCCATCAGTTTTCTAGTTGAGGACATCCATTTAAATGGAGGAGAAGGATCAAACAAAATCTCTCAGTGCTATGTGAAATTGCACTTCCACTTCCATCGGCCTTTGTAATTTTCCAATATAAAAAAAATAAAACCTCCCCTGTTCCCTGAAAACTCAGAAAATCTCAGAGCTTGCAGAAAACTGAGAGGATGAAGATATCCAGTTTCATGCTTCTGCTACCAGTCATGCTTCTTGCTCTCTCTCGCATCTCCACTATCGTCGCGGAAGACGCGAGAGAGCAGCAGGTGAAAAAGACTTACATCATTCACATGGACAAGTCCGAAATGCCGGCGAGTTTTGAAGATGATCATTTCCGATGGTATGATTCTTCTTTGAAATCCGTGTCGAGTTCAGCCGACATGCTTTACACTTACAAGACCATAATCCACGGCTTCGCCACCAAGCTAACCGCCGAGGAAGCTGAGCTGCTTGAGAAGCAGTCGGGAATTCTGTCCGTTCTGCCCGAAAGGAGGTACGAGCTGCATACAACTCGGTCGCCCGAGTTTCTTGGATTGGGAAAGAGTGAAGCCCTCTTGCCGGCGTCGGGTAAAGTGAGTGACGTGATTGTCGGAGTGGTGGACACTGGCGTGTGGCCCGAGCTCAAAAGCTACGATGACACAGGTCTCGCGGCAGTACCAAGTGGCTGGAAAGGGGTGTGTGAGGCGGGAACAAACTTCAGCTCCTCAAACTGCAACCGGAAACTCATAGGCGCGAGGTTTTTCTCGAAAGGGTATGAAGCTACAGTTGGACCAATCGATGTGAAAGCAGAATCGAAATCACCACGAGATGATGATGGTCACGGAACTCACACCTTATCCACTGCAACCGGTTCACCAGTTTTAGGAGCAAGCCTCTTTGGTCATGCTTCGGGGACAGCGCGAGGGATGGCGCCACAAGCTAGAGTGGCCACGTACAAGGCGTGCTGGCTTGGTGGGTGTTTCGGCTCTGATATCACAGCCGCAATGGAGAAGGCCGTGGAAGACGGTGTCGATGTTTTATCTTTGTCTATTGGGGGATCACAGTCTGAATATTACAGAGACACTGTTGCTATTGGAGCTTTCTCTGCCGCGGCGCAGGGGATCCTTGTGTCTTGTTCAGCTGGTAATGGAGGACCGGACGCAGGGAGTCTGTCCAACGTTGCGCCTTGGATAACTACAGTGGGTGCTGGAACATTAGACAGGGATTTCCCGGCTTTTGTTAGCCTCGGAAGTGCAAAGAAATACAGAGGTATATCGCTCTATAGGGGAACATCCTTATCTAGTGGATTGCTTCCGCTTGTATATGCTGGCAATGCAAGTGAGTCCTCCATGGGCGGGCTATGCGCTCCAGAAAGTCTGATTCCCGCAAAGGTTGCAGGGAAAATTGTGGTATGTGATCGAGGGGGAACCCCTAGGGTCCAAAAGAGTTTGGTGGTGAAAAAGGCCGGCGGTTTAGGGATGATTTTGACGAACACGGATGCTTACGGAGAAGAACTTGTTGCGGATGCATATCTACTGCCTACAGCAGCAGTTGGTGCGAAAGCTGGGGCTGCGATAAAAAGCTATATTGCCTCGCAATCTAATCCTACGGCCACAATTGCGCTTGGAGAGACGGAGTTACATGTGCAGCCCTCGCCCGTGGTGGCATCATTCAGCTCAAGAGGACCGAACCTAGTCACCCCGGAATTACTCAAACCAGACCTAATAGCACCGGGAGTAAATATCCTTGCTGGGTGGACTGGTGCGATTGGACCAACCGGACTAGCCGAAGACAAGAGGCATGTCACCTTCAACATCATTTCAGGTACTTCCATGTCATGCCCGCATGTGAGTGGTTTGGCCGCCCTTGTCAAGGCGGCTCATCCAGGATGGAGCCCTGCAGCCATTAAGTCTGCACTCATGACTACATCCTACACAGTATACAAAACTGGAGAAACCATCATAGATGTAGCAACTGGAAATCCTGCAACGCCGTTTGATTATGGTGCTGGGCATGTGGATCCGGTGGCAGCCCTCGACCCTGGCCTTGTTTATGATAATGCGGTCGAGGACTACTTCAGCTTCCTCTGCGCCTTGAAATATAGCTCAACTGAGATCAAACTAACCACTCACAGAGACTTCACTTGCGATACAAGAAAGAAATACAGCGTCGGAGATTTCAACTACCCGTCTTTTGCTGTTCCTCTAGAAACATCTTCTGGCAGAGGGGGTGGAACAGGTGCTTCAACAACTGTGAAACACACAAGGACACTGACCAATGTGGGTTCCCCAGGAACATACAAGGTCACGATATCTTCACAGGCGCCATCAGTGAAGATCTCGGTTGAGCCACAATCACTGACTTTCAGTCAAGCATACGAGAAGAAAACATATACCGTGACTTTTGTTGCTGGTTCTTCGCCATCCGGTACAAGCAGCTTTGCTCGGTTGGTATGGTCCGATGGGAAACGCACAGTAGGTAGTCCAATAGCTTTCACCTGGATATAATTTTGAAGAGCAGCATTGAAGAACTGATCTAGCTCAGATCAGGGCTTTTAAGGTTCCTGCAAAAAAAATCCAATTGTATATTTCTTAAGTATGTTGTGAAATTATCCTGTACCTCGCTTGTATCGTAGCAACCGCACGAACGTAGCCTGTTGATGTGGTTTTTTTCTTTTCACAGTTGAAGTTAAGAGGGGAAAGAAGAACGGATGGAAAATAATTGTACAGGAAACTGTATAAGGAATTGACATGGGGGCATTGAAAAGAATTACCAATTTGTATTCATAAATATGATATGTAGCTAAAATATGTAGATGATCTAATCTTCCATTCTCTCACTTCTGGGCCTTTTTTTTTTTTCACACCTAAAGAACACCTGGGATCATATTGTAAGAAAGAACAAGACAGGCTACCAATCTTGGGTACGTCTAGTTACATGACTCGAAACCTGAACGAATACAGTTTTCAATGTGATAAACCCCAACAGGCATCTCCTTCGTACCGCTGACCAGAAGATGATTAATTTAGCACGATTCACTTCTTCCTTTATCCTTTGATGCTTGAATTGGACCACTTATCCAAATCCATTCATGAAGTCCAATCAATGAAACAAATCAATGTGAATGGAATCCCGACTTTTTCCACCTACACGGACACTAGTTATGTATTTCTGACATTTGTAAAGTTGTGAATTGAATGATGTATTGAATTAGTGTTGTAAGTCACTTGTTTGTCAAGATATTAACGATATAAGTGATATGGTAGTTCTAGTAAAATAAGAATTATGGAATCTTAACTTTTGCAATTGATCTCAAAGAAACTAATAGGTTTCGCTACAAAGATATAGAATCATGGTAGGACTCAATCACTTAAGTGATAGCATTTGATTTTCACAACCAATAATAGGCCGGTTGTGATTAAATCCTAGTGATATAAATATTATGATTAAGTCTCTGCTTTCATACGCTTAATCTCTCAGATACGCTGAACCCTATTCATATAGTAGAGAGATTATTGAAGTACTGGAAGTAGAAAACAACCTAGAATTCTGCAATGTCTTCCGTATTCTACAAATAAGTTTAATATAATTAATTAATCTTTATTTTATACTGATTTGATTTATGCGTGATTCTAATGTGTTTTTGTGATTTCAGAATGTCTTACATATGGTATCAGAGTCACACAACAAGTTTAGAGTTGGATTGACATGTAATTTGATTAACTGTAGATGATTAACACAAGTGAAGCATAATTTGTGTTCATCGTTTGGTTGGCTATTTTGACTAATCGATCCTGTGAGACTTCATAAAGATGCTTCCGCAATTTTGTATCACTGAGTCTGCAATTTTGTTTAGTGATTTAGGTCCAAATAAA